GGGTCAGAGGTCAAACCCAGATGGTGGGAGGTCATCTTGCAATCGCTGTGACCCGAACTTCTCATGTAACTGCTCCAACAGCGGATTCACCTGTGTTCCTACAGTAACCGACCAAGCCCTGTTTCTGGACCTGTCCTTGAACAACATCAGCAGGGTGATGGACGACGACCTGACAGGCCACACACGACTGAGGGCTCTGAGTCTCCATGGTAACACCAATGGGATTTTATTTGGCTTTACAGGGATAAGCTGAGAACGTCTGAAGTAAGATCATGTTTAAAGCATTAAGTCGGTTACTGTTCTCTAGGTAACAGGTTAGATGAGGTGACGTCATCAGCGTTCAACTCCCTGTGGAGCCTGGAGGAGCTGGATCTGTCTGATAATCAGCTGATCACTCTCAACTACACATGGTTCAGCAATCTGGGAGCTCTGAGGAAGCTCAACCTGCTCAACAACCCATACAGGTAAAGGGCTGACAGGTAACCAAGCAAAAACGTCCACATAGCATAGGATGATCAGCTGTCTACATACTTTTGGCTGTTTAGCGCAGCTTCCTCTCTCCCCTCCAGCTGCCTGGGTTCTCCCCCAGTGTTCCAGGAGCTGGTCAGTCTGAGGCGGCTGGCATTCGGAGGTCCTTACCTGGAGGAGTTAAAGAGAGGAGATCTGTCTGGAGTCACTGAGCTGGAGGAGCTCACCGTGCACGGGAACAACCTGATGAGGTCAGGAAAAAGTCTGATTTTGTTTGTGCTGTTTCATAGACAGATGTCCTAACATGGAAAGGAAAGGGCGCCTCCTAGTGGCAGCATCACTTTTTCAGCATTTGTTGAAAAAAGCTGCAGCCGACTAGTTTTCTGTCGACTGACTGATGAATCATTACCGCTCTAAGAGGAGCATTAATTAATGTTCAGTGTAGTTATAAACATGAAAAACAGGATGCAAATCAAGAATTGTTTTAAAAAGGAAAATGTTTAAACAGATTCAAGTCCTCACCTGTATCTTCTGGGTACACTTCCCTATATCCAGCACGTTGGTTCCTCCTGAAGACGTCATTCTTTGTAAATGTCAGAAATATTTAGTTTTTTT